TTTCTTTCCCTGCTGCTGGCTCAGGATTCATGTTTAAGATTTTATCAGCTCCAGCACCGAAGGAACTTAGTGAATGAAAATGTGCTTTTGTTCCCATTTTTTAGGCATTATATCAGGGAGGAAGAAAGCTCCTTGTCTGGCTGACAGAAACTAAGTGCTTCTATCTGTTGTACCCTGCTTCCTTATCGACTGCTTTCCATTGTTTCCAGGAAAACCCTTTTGTAATGGGCAAGGAACTCGATAAAAAACACAGAACAAGGACTGGACTAATTTAAAAGGACAGTTTTCTGTCCCTGGATGCCCAAGCCATGACCCTGTTTGTGAACAGTGATACATGAATGAGGTGTGTGGATGTTCAAGGTGTCAAACAGTGCCCAGAATATCCATAATCCTCCCAGATAGCCTGAGGGATCAGAGCCACAGACACGCTCTCTGCATGTCCAGTCCTAAAGATAACAGGAGCTGCTGCCTCTTCCCTTTTCATGTATGAAATCCCTAATCCTGAAACGACTCTTTCATCCCCCTGGATGCAGTTCCCTCACAATTGAACTCCTTTTCTCTCCTTCCCAGCTGGAAAACCAAAGAGCCCACCTGGAAAGAGCACAGGCTGCAACCTGGGCAGGTATCAGGCCCCTGTTCATAGCAAGAGGTTCATGCCTAGGAAAAAAACATGAAAACTTGAAGGAAAAGAAGCTTGAGTTCAGAGTTATATCTGGGAAAATGCTTCCACCTTGGCTACCCCAGCCCTGGAAGTGTCCAAGGCCAGGTTGGACAGGGCTTGGAGCATCCTGGGATAGTGGAAGGTGTCCCTGCCCATGGCAGGGGGTGGCACTGGATGAGTTTTGAGGTCCCTTCCAACCCAAACCATTCTATGATCCTTTGATTCTGTGAAAGAAGAGGAAATAGAAATCACTCCAGAGGACTAAGAGGTACTTGTTTTTTACAATTATTTTACCTTTTGTTACATTATATAATTTATCATTACACAATAATATGTTATATATCATATTGATATACATGTTCTCATTTACTGTGTCTCCTATTAAACTCATTTTTTTACCATTAATCCATTCTAGGGGCATCTACAATCACCTTCAGTGCTGGCCAAAATCCCCCAAACTGAGGGTTTTCAGGACCTCAAGCACTGCCCTCAGTACCTGTTGCTGTGTGACTGTAATCACAGGGTGTAGATCAACCCTACAGAGCTGGACAAGGGGCTCCAACAGATCCCTGATGCCCTTGTGGGTAGGGGACCAAACTTCTCCATGCCACAACCTCCTGCAAAGTGCCCCAGCATTCCTTTTCCTCTCTGTGGTTATGAAATGGTTGCAACCTGTGAGTGGAGCCGACTTCCCACAGCTTTTATTAAGCAGCTGGTTGTGACTGGGGCTGGGAACTGGTGGGGCCAACACCTCCAGTGACAAATGGAAGTTCAGACACGTGGCTCTGAGTGCTCACAGACACGTTTATTTCCCAAAATGAGGATACACAAATGATAGAAACAAAACAAAACCAAGCAAAACGAACGAGGGCTCGATCTGACGGCTGTTGTTGTGTTTCAAAATGAAAACACACTTCACTGAAGGGGTTCTGCTGGGAGACAGCAACCTGCACAAGTGGCTCTTGCAAAAGAACTTTCCACTTGAAATAATAATCACATCTCTACCTGGGACTGCACTGCCAGTGAAACAAAGGGCCTTGAGACAGCCAGAAACGTAAGGTGGATTAATTTGTCTAGATATGATACTGTTTTCCTGCACTGCCCTTGCAGGAGGGTTGCATTTCATTTATCAGATTGTTTCCCTCTCCACAACCACAAAAGCCTGACCCCCTCACTGCCTGAACTGCAGCAGATCTGCAACAGGATAGAAAACACCCAGAACTGTCCCAAACCTAACAAAGATCTGATTTGCCACTCATTTCTCACCACTTTCCCTGGGTTTTGGGTTTTTTTGCTCTCTATTTGTCTGGTTTTTTGTCTTGCTGAGCAACAATCGGTGCATGACAAAATTTCCTAATTGCAAAGAGCAAATCAACCATAATTATGATTTTTTTTGCTGAGATTATTTTCCAGAGCTGTCCCCAGCTCTCAGGGAAATGAGAAGCTGGGCTGCCTGGTTATATATTTTTATAGCTGCCTTCAGGGACAGGGGTTCTGCTGAGCTGTGAATAAAGAAAGGAGGACACTCTCAGGGCCAATGTACATTCAAATTATCAGGTACCTCAAGGCTCCTGAGCCTGGTTAAGGCACAGGGACATGAATATGTGCCATGTCCTGCTGGCAATGCAGTGTTGTGAACTCACACAAAAATAATCACAGTATTTGTCTTCCCCCATCTCCAGAAGGGGCCTTGCCACAGAAAAGAATGACAAGGAGATGGTTTTTGCTGTCTTGCTGCAAATGAAGTCAAGGAGGGTGTAAAGAGTCATTTAAACAAAAAGGAAATAAGCCATTTCTTCACTGAAAGGGGCTTCAAGCCCTGGCACAGACTGTGGAGGAGGCACCACAGGTGGAATTGTTCAAAAAACCAGCAGATGTGTCACTCAGTGCTATGGATTAGTGGGCACGGGGTGAGCTATCAAAGCTTGGACATGATGGTCTTTTAAGCCTTTTCCAGCCTTAATAATTCTGTGATTCTGTGATATGAATGTCCAAGTTCCCAGTACCTGGCACAGCCTGGGCACTGTCACAGGGCTTGTTTCAGAAAGAGCATTCCCCCAAATTCCATTGCTTTTCTGACGGCTCAGGCTGCAGCAAACCTACATTTTCTGTTAGAAACCTACATTTCTATTAGAAATGTTAACATTTCTGTTAAACAGAAATGTTTAACATTTTCTGTTAAAATGTTTTTTAACATTTTCTGTTAAAAAACTATAATTAGGTAAAATAATCATATTTAAAGCCCACCTTCAACCACCTGAAAGATATCAATGCAAGGACCTTTTTCTTCTCTCCAGACGTCTCCTTATAGAAGCAGCAATGGGGTCTGGAAAAAACAGGAACCTTCCAGCAGCAACTTTCTCCTGAAAGAAATTCCCCTCTGGAATTACTGTAAGGACAAAACTTATGCTTTTGGCACAGAAAAAAGATACATTATATTATTTATGAATAAAAGTTTTCAATGGAAGAAAGGCTTCAATGAACATTTGTAGGAATTTTGAGGTGTTTCCACAATAAACACAAAGAGTTCTAAAAAGTACCTTCTCTCTCTTTCTCATTCCCAAATCTGTACATTTAAAAATAAAAACAACAGAATGCAACACGTTCAGAATGAAAATGTGAGTTCATCTGTGGGATGATAACACAGAAAAGTGAGCATCTGTATGATTGGATGTATTTCATTTACACCCAGGAAAGACACTGGGAACATCATAAAATCTTGTAGAAAAAAAACCAAAAACCTAAATGGCCTTAGGGTGATGTGAAATTTAGAAGAAAACTGGCCGAAATTTACTACCTGGAATGCAAATTCATTGCAAAAATATGCAACACGCTTTTTCAGTCACATCAAATATGCAAAAATCTGGTTGCAAATTGAAAGTAAAGCAAAACACAGATGCACCATAAATTTCTTTCTGGTACCATCACAAGGAGCAAAAGGCTGAGAAGATTTTTGCATTTTTATTTCCTCCATTCAGTTTATTCACCTCTTTTTACTGTGAATGAGACACCCATTAAAATATTAAAAGCTGTTTAGTAGGTGATCTGAAATGATTAAAAACAGGACAGAAAAAAAAAAAAAAAAGCATTTCCAGTGCTTGTCAGCATCAGTTTTCTGATCAAATTTAATACAAAATAGCTAATGAGGGCAACTCAGCCCCACGAACATTGTTCAAAATGCAAACTTGATTTTCAAAATCATCCCCTCCATATTTAATATGGTGATGATTACAAGAAAAGCAGTGCTCCAATATGGTAATTTCCTCCCTGTTTTTCTGCTGATGTTACTCTTCATTTGAAGAATCCTGTCACCCTCTCTTCCCCAGCAGATCAAAGCCAGGCATCCAGTTTGTACCAGATGCCATCAGAAAAAAATTACACTTAAAAATTCCCAAAGTAATTAAAAAGCTCTGTATAAACCATCTCAAAGAGGAAGACACACTGTACCAATTCTCTCCTCTTTAAACAACTTCTGGGAAGGTGACAAAATGTGACTTAAAGCTTATGCTAAACATGCCAACTCCTTCCTTTGAAGTCCTAATTAATTATCTTACCTGAGAATCACAGCAAACATGAGGCTGCAGGCTGCTTTTGCACTCTGGGTTCCTTACCCTCACTGATGTCGAGGAAGATCATGGAATTCTGGAGAGCAATTGGGTCTTGGACAAAGAATTTCAGGGACAGAATGATACTGGATCAGATCCATGGTACTGGATTTATCTTGGGGACACAACTCTTCATGTACTCTGAGGTCACTCAAGGGGTTGTGCTGCCCCTGACCCAGAGGGAATTAATGGCCAGGAGTGGGAATCTCATCTCCTACTGCAGTGCTTGGAATGTGTGAATGCCAAAAGCCAGAGGAGAAAAGGTATAGATGGACCAACCCACATAATGATCCCTAAATCCAGCCCAAAACAGGATCAAGAAGAAATCAGGATGCCAGGGAGAAAAGCCACTGTTTCAGAACTGAATCCTGTTTAATTTACCTTGTAATGCCATGGGTTTTTTCTATAACTTTATTTAGGTTTTGAACAAACTCATTTTTACCTGATGTCATGCAGAAAGCAAGAGATAGCCCAACACCAGCCAGGCCACACCAGGGTACCCAGGGGAGCACAGACAGGCCACATCACACAATCACAGCATCACTGAGGGTGGAAAAGACCTCTGAGATCATCCAGTCCAACCTTTGACCCAACCCCACCTTGTCACCCAGACCATGGCACTGATGCCACATCCAGGCTCTGCTTAAACACCTCCAGGGATGGGCACTCCAAACCTCCCTGGGCACCCATTCCAAGGTCTGACCACTCTCTCTGGGAAGAACTTTTTCCTGATTCCAACCTAAACTCCCCTGGTACAGCTCAAGGCTGTGCCCTCTTGTCCTACTGCTGGTTCCTGGCAGCAGAGCCCGACCCCCCCTGGCTCCCCCCTCCTGTCAGGGAGTTTCAGAGAGTGAGGAGGTCTCCCCTGAGCCTCCTCCTCTCCAGGCTGAGCCCCCCCAGCTCCCTCAGCCTCTCCTCCCAGCACTTGTGCTCCAGTCCCTTCCCCAGCCTCGTTGCTCTTCCCTGGACCTGCTCCAGCCCCTCCATGTCCTTCCTGAGCTGAGGGCCCAGAGCTGGACACAGCACTCCAGGGGTGGCCTCACCAGCGCTGAGTCCAGGGCAAGAATCCCTGCCCTGCTCCTGCTGCCACACTCTTCCTGATCCAGGCCAGGACCCATTGGCCCTCTTGGCCACCTGGGCACACCTGGCTCATGTTCAGTCAGCTGTCAGTCACCTCCAACCCAGCTCTCATCCTCACCTTCCCCCTCTGGAATGGCTCCAAACTTGCTTTCCTCAGGCACCAGGAGGCCGGGAGCAGACACAGAGAGCCCAGCAGGAACACACCCTGTCCCAGGGGACATCAGCTGTCACCAGGGTACCACCACGACCCCAAACAAACCTCAGCCAGGGGGAGGTTGTGTCCCCCAGGCTGCTTTCATTAAACAATTCCCGAGGTACTGAACTGCCCCTGGAGCACAAAGGACACGAATTGAAATGCATCCACTGCTGCTGCTGCTGCCCAGAATGTGACTGTGAGCAGCTCCCACTGTTTGTAGGCTTGAAAAAGAGGAAAACATCCGGCCTGGCATGTAAAGGGGCTGCCAAATCCATCCCGGAGAGCAAGTAATGGAGTTGGTATTCATTAACCCTACTCTCTTGGCTTTTTTAATAAAATGAGATAGAACTCTGTCCAGCCCACGAGCAAGATTCATTTCTTTCTAAATGACAAAGAAATGGAAAACACGAGGCACTTGGCAAAGTATTCCTTTGAGTACCTTGGCAGCTTGTCATTGATAATGGAATTGTTGTCTGATCTTCAGTCATTTGCAATTTAATTTACTCACAAAACCTACCACTTCTTCTTGCACATATTTCTCCACAATGTGCCTATTTACCTTCCCAAACAGGAAGAAATACATTAGATGATTTAAAGGGTAGCCCTTAATGCAATTTAAAGGCTTGCAAATTGATTTTCCTTAACGAACTTTATATCCTGCCGTCCTGTCGTTTTTCCTCTAGTCCATTCAATTAGGCCCTAATCAGTTATTAAGGGTTAGATAATGGGAACGTGACATCATCCACACGAGGCAGAAATTTTTGAGAGAGATTAATTAAAATCTAATTTTCATGCGAGGCTGGACCATCTGAGACAAAAGTTGCCCGTGATAATTGCAAGGCAAAAAAAAAAAAAAAAAAAAAAAAGAAAAGGGAAGAGAAAAAAGTTCCTGGAAAACCCAAAATGGAGAAAAGAAGAACACCCAGCTTGGAGAGATGCTGACATGAGAGAGAAGTTGAGAGAGAACATGTTCCTCTTGGGTGTATAAGAGAGAACCTCTGTGCTGTCTTCATCTAAACCACTGAAGAACAAACATTGGGAATTGAAGCATTTCAGTAAAAGAGCTTTTCATTGTGGATGAAAAGCAGGAGTCATTCATGTGCTGCTTTCAGGTAGGAACACACACTTTAATAGCAGTAGTAGCAGTGCTTGAAGCAGAGAGGCTTTTGTGGGGTTTGTTAATATTGACTTGTGAGAGAGGGGAGCTTTGGGCTCTAAATACACATCTAATCTCCACAGAGAACAGAGCTCAGCAGTTCCATTTGCCCCATATCAAAGAAGGAAAAATGTTGTTATTCTGCCAAGAAAATGGATCTATTTATCTGATGCAACAATCTCTGCAACACAGGGTTTGTTTTTCCTAACCTCTATTTTTCTTAAAGAAGGCATATTGCAACCACTCTTAAAACAGTCTGAAATACAAGGGGTATAGCAACAACTAAAAACTTTCTAGTAGCAATATCCATATTGCTGCAGGAATTTTGGACACCCTCATATTTCAGAACAAAGGAAAAACCAGATCCAACTGAATAAAAATAGGCAACAAAGTGCATAATGGTTCTTCCTATTAATTACTGCTTTCAAACAGCACCTCCAAAGTGAGCAATTTTGGGGACATCACCTCCAGGGTGAGGTGCTGGTGGGACAAAGAAGGTTTAAATCTTACAATTGCTCCCTATTCATGCAGCTGATCCTCAGCTGACACCTCCTGGGGATGGCCTCATCTCCTGGTTCTGTTGGATTTTGTCTCTTGTTTGTGACCAGGAAAACAGGAGCCAAACCTGAGGGTCACAATGTTCCACAAAGATCTCCTTGTTGGGGCTGGGATTTGAAGGTTTTGGGGGGGTTGAATATTTGTGAGCTCTTTTTTGAAGGATTAGAAGTAAAACTTCAGCTTTTGTCCAGGTTTTCTCCTCTTGGACAGCTTTGAATGTGCTGCAAAACTCTTGTTCTCTGAACAATCTCCAGAAGCTTTCATTGGATTTAAAAAATGTGTTCTACGCATTATATTTTTTTCCCTTTAATTTTCTTGGCTCCCTTTTTTCTCCAAACCTTCCAAGCATCCCTGCAGCCATCTATAAGCATAATCTTAATAAAGAAGGGAAGTGTTTTAGTTCATTAGTCAAAGTCTTTTTGTAAAAATTGTTACCAAGTTGTAACTGAGGTTTCCATTGATTTCTTCCCCAGATATAAGGCATTTAACGTTGTCTCACAGAAAATCAACCTTCCCCCCCTTGCCTCAGTGTAGGTGCACAGAAATCAGCACAGAGCAACACCAGAATCCCAGAGAAAAAGGAACAAATATATCTTTCTAATTCCAACATGGAACCCATTGCACAGCTGCCCCTTGTGGATACTGTGACCTGAATGGAAACACGTGTTTGATGCTGAGGATGATTTCCTAATTTCAGAGGGGAACTGGGAACACACATGGAACCAGCCATTTGCTTTCTATATGCTTTTAAGTATATATTTATTCATATTAAATATATATTTATTCATATTTTCTCTGCATTCCCATGATACCTCGAAGAGCAGCCCATGTTGTAATGTATGGTGCAATGGAAATATATAAAATAAGAAACAGATAACTCACCAAGAACCTGCAATTCCTCCTTAAATTCATGCTCCTTATAGACCCAACTCAGTTCTAGTGAGGTGAGACAAAGAATAGAGCACATGAGGGAGACATGAAGATTTAATAAAAGGTTTGCCAAAGTACTGAGAACCAAAGGCAAAGATTCCTTACTGATTCCATGTTTACTCTGAGCTGAACCCCTGAGTCACCACTGAGGCTGCTTGGAGCATGGATATTATAAGCCAACTCTCAGAAACCTGTTCAAATTTGTTCAATATTCACTTAGATGTGTAAATATTGCTCAGATCCACTGCCCCAAAACTGAATTCCCTCAATCCACGGAAACACCAAATGAGCCAAAGCAATATTTGCTGTTTCTGGGTTCCAGAGGAAAAAAAAAAATGCAGGAAATATTCCCAGGGCAAGTCCCAGGCCATTCTCTTTCATCTACAGGAAGAAAATATCTGTGGGGTAAATATGTAAGGCATTGAAAATTGAGAGAAATTGCTGGTCTTCACAATTATTTTTTAATTTACCCTCCTCTGGAGGAGAAGTGAAGCCTTTGTCTCCCAGTCAGCACAAACTTTGCATTTCTTCATCTGCATCTGGGGCTTCCTGAAAAATGAGCATCTTGATTACGGCTCTGCCCTTCCCCTGCTCTGCTCCAGCTGCTGCCTCTCCTCATGCATTTCCAAAAACTGAGAGGCACAGCCATTTCCTTACTCCTTTGTGTTATTTATGTTGCTCGTGTGAGTTGTCTCACTTCCTTTCCCAGCTCCCTGGATATCTCTGAAAGGAGAATGCTCTTGGAGAAGGGCCCAGCTGTGCCCTCAGGCAGGTGCAAGACCATGGGAGGGAACCACAGCTGGGGCAGTGCCACCACCATCCAAGGCAGCAACAAGCCCCAAATCCCAGATTTTATAGTTCTTCCCTCCCCCCTCTTGCTGAGAGGAGTGAAATCAGTACAATCTGTGAGGGGAGGAAAGTAGGAACAAGAAAGAAATGGAAAAGAGCTCTTTTGGATGGTCTCGGTGACCCTAAGCCTTTGAAAGGAGATGTTGTCTGGGGTGAGACACACTTACAGGAGTTGTGGCTCCCAGAGGGATTCCTGGTTGCTTTTCCCAGCTCAGCTGTGTGCACCAGCTGCCAGGAAAACCATATTTCCCTTTCCAGTCACCACACTGGGATCTGCCCACCCTCCATTCCCAACAGGATGGACCTCATGTTCCTGCCTCCTTTTTTCTCCTGTTCTGGAGCTGCAGCCACAGCCAAACCCAGGCAGGGAGTCACCTTTCCTGACCTGTAGATGACTATTCCACCATGCAAGGCTGACACACCTTCTGGCCGAAATAGGTTGGCAAAGGACAAGAGTGGCTCAAACCAAACAAAACTGCAGAATGAAACCTTCTTCCTCCCCTCCTCACCTGATCCTTTCATCTCACCTTATTCTAACAACCCTGAAGTTCTGTGAGAGCATCTGGGCCACAAATAAATATAAAAATAGCAGAATATTGCTTGGTGGAGAGATTTATTTCTAATGATGTTGGGTTTTGCCATGGAAAATTTACTGTTCTGTTAAACTCCCTGCTCACAGAGGATTCAGCTTCAGGAAGGAAGTTTTGCACATCAAACAGCATCACTCAAGAGGCTTTTTTGCATGGCCAAACTCACTAACTTATGATTCATTCTGCAGTGGCTCATCTGGAAATGGTGCTCCCATGGTGTTGTCACCATTCCCCTCCCATCACCTCCAGAGCACAACAGAAGCTCCCAACCTCCCATAAAAACTATTCCCACACCAAAAATCCAACCTGGTCTCCCACGTATCACCTTTGCACTTGTGCACAACCCTCCTTTTGCTTTTTCAGTGTCATTTTTCCCTCAAAAATACAGTTGCTTTCTCCAGCCTCCATCCCTTGGTGATGTTTCTGTTCCAGAAGACCCCGTTTTTCCCAGTGCTGTTCCAGGGCTCTGCAGGATGGCTGGTTTTTAATCAGCCTGGAAGTCACTTGGGTCTCTTCCTGCCTAGCCCAGATTTACTTTAGGATTTTCAGTTTTGATGAAAGCACAAGTGGGAAAGAGCAAAGCTTCTGCTCCCTTTGTAATTAATCACAGGTTAAAGTGCTGTATGAATTATAAAGGCCTCAGGAGAGGCATCACCAGCTGAATTTCCAGCAAAGCACACAACTTAAGACATATTTTGCTTTGTGTATTTGGTTAATAGAAGAATTAGTCACTGAGCTGGAGACTTTTTAATTCTTTTTTTTCAAAGCTTGCTCATCTGTGGCAGATGATTTTCTAACATGAGCTCTACCTTTGTAGAATATCTGAAATTGTGTGAGTTTATTCCTCATGGCAACTTGGAGAGCTACAGCAGAAAATTCAAATATCATTTGATTTCTCAAACCAAAGACTCAGAGGTTTTTTTGACAGGGAGGTGGGTGGGACAGTCACTCAGCACATTCATTTCCAGGGAAGCAGATGGGTAAGGGGAGAAATACGGCCTGTCTTGCAAATTTATCAACAAATATCACCACAGCTTTTAGCATCCTTCCCTGCTATGACTCCAGACTTATCTCATTGTTCACACCACAGTCAGAGACAGTTGGTTAATACATATCCCCAACACAAGCAATCCTTCAGAAGGTGTCAAAAGGCCCCAGATGTGCCCGTTTCACAGAGCCCAATGAGACTGTCTTTGTTTCCTTTCTTATGAAGTACTTTGAGATTCAAATAAAAGTGGGAAAAAATCACTTTGAAGGATAACTCACTTCACTAATAGTTTATTGCATTATAAGTAATAGGAACAAAAGAAGAATCCCAGGATGGTTTGGGTGGGAAGGGACCCGAAGTCCCACCCCCTGCCATGGGCAGGGACACCTCCCACTAGCCCAGGTTGCTCCAAGCCCCGTCCAACCTGGCCTTGGACACTTCCAGGGATCCAGGGGCAGCCACAGCTTCTCTGGGCAACCTGGGCCAGGGCCTCCCCACCCTCACAGCCAAAAATTCCTTCCCAATATCCCATCTATCCCTGCCCTCTGGCAGTTGGAAGCCATTCCCTATGTCCTGTCCCTCCATCCCTTGTCCATATTCTTTCTCCATCTTTCCTGTAGCCCCTTCAGGCCCTGCAAGGCCACAATCAGGTCACCCCAAAGCTTCTCCTCTCCAGGCTGAACAATCCCAACTCTCTCCCCTTTCTTCCCAGCAGAGCTGCTCCACCCTCTGCTCTCCAGCAGCTCCATGTCCTTGCTGTGCTGTTCCCCAGGGCTGGAGCAGCTCTGCAGGGGGGTCTCAGCTGAGGGGCAGAGGGGCAGAATCCCCCCCTGCCCTGCTGCCCACGCTGGGGGATCAGCCCAGGGCACAGGGGGGTCTGGGCTGGGCCATGTCCAGCCTCTGCCCCACCAGCACCCCCAGGGCCTTCTCTAATCCAGCCTTAGATTGTTCTCTGGGCAAAACATCCTCGGCTCTGTTTCTTCAGAGTAACAGCAGCAAAACGTGTCCCTTTAGCGAATTTAATGTGGAAAACTAAACTCCCAGCAGCTCTGTGGAAAAATACACCACCTACCCTCTGGCTTCTTAAAAAATGCCAGCCAGAATTGATGTAAAGGCTCCAATCTGCCAGTTTGTTCTCTGATGTATTCAAAACCATTTTAGAATACCTGGTTGCTGCAAGAAAATTAATCTGATTGTGTAGCTACAGGTTCAAAGATACAAATTAAAAACTTCCAAGAATACAAACATTTCCAAAAACTGTTCAGGAAGAGAGAAAACTCTCCCGTGATTTATGCATTATATTTTTATTACCAATACACAATAATTGTTGTCCTTTCTTTCCTCTTTCTTATCTCCAACAGCTTTTTTTTTTCTTTAATTAGACTTTCTTCTCAATTTGCTTTAAAACACAGAGAAGGTACAAACACTGGCAATAATATTTGAATGGACTTTCAAACAGCATGAAATGCAGAAATATGAATTACTTCATCTTTCAATTGCCTGTAACAAAATGCTACTTTTTCTATAGATTGGTTAATGTGTGGTTTACTAAAGGAATTCAAGAGATAATCTTAATTCAGCAATACCAGGTCAGGTCCCAGGGCTTTAAGGTTGCTTAATGAGGTTAAATAAAAGGGAATGTAAAACAGCTCTGACTACATCTGAAATTTCCAAGTAGCTGCAGACATACTTAGTGGAAAAACTTGGGCCCCAGTGTATGCCAATAAATCTATTTTCTTTTCAAGAAAAAAAATTAAGGAACATTAAAAGGCCATCAATCACACTTTTCTTAACAGAGCGTTAGAGAGTGACAATTAAAGATGCCCCGTTGCACTGTAGCACAGCTTAAATCATGTTTCAGAGTCTGAGCCAGTATCTGAGAATGTTATTAAAGTTATTTCTTCGTTGCATTATTAAAATCTAAGATTAGAAAGAAATTTTTTAGCTTTTCACGCTGGTGAAATGATCTTCTTGACACTTTCTTCAGCTTCAGAAAAAGAACAAAACCACTGTCCCAGTAGTTCCCTTTAGGGTGGTGTGGGTATCCCAGCGTGGGTATCCCAGTTCCCAAGTTATTTGCTTTTTGTATAAACACGTGTCTTCCATTTATCTCCCTTTAAATCCTGTTTTCCTACCCAGTGAGGAGCATTTGAAAGCATCTTTCCAGCAAGACTTTCAGAGGAAGGGGATTATTTCCAGTTCATTTCCGTGGGTGGCACCGAGCCACGTGCCAGGTTGAAAAGCTTTGTTTCTGTTTGGCTTCTTTCTCTCTCCAAAACCTTAAAACCTAAAATCGATCTGTAGATTTGTGCACTCCTGGAAAGGCAGGAGTTGTACAAACTCCTCCCTGGAGATTCCAGCAAGGCCAGACCACCTCTCAATCCTGCTTTTCATGGCCCAGGCAGAGGAGACTACACTGGGATGGTCTCCCGGGAGGACGTGATGCTGGACAGGATCCTGGGGGAAGGATTCTTGGGAGAGGTCTACAAGGGAACCCACACCACCCCTGTGAGCTTCCCAACTTCTCCTTTCCCTCTTACATGTCTGGGAGGGATTTGGGATAACACATTCCCACTTTTCCCTTCTCCACGCAGAAAGGCGAGCGGATCAACGTGGCCATGGCGACCTGCAAGAAAGATTGCAGCCTGGAAAGAAAGGATAAATTCCCGAGTGAAACAGGTATCCCAGGAATCCTGCTGCCCTTTTTTTAGGGATCAGAGCCTCAGCTTCCCCGGGGATCATCCAGGAGGTAAGAGGGAAAATAGTGGGGGCCTGGTAGTGTTCCAAGTTCTCCAGAGCCTCTTAATTTGGGATTTACAATTGCTTGGAGGGAGGAGCTTAGTCTTCCTCATAACTCATCCTCCTTAGCAAACACTTCAGTCTCATTAGACTGAGACACCTTGTCCTGGCTCTGGAAAAGCAGCCCTTGGAATGCAGGATAGAGGAGAAGGGAGTTGGTCCGTGCCCTCCCACCTGGGACAGGTTCTCCAAAACACCTGGATTATGGGAGGGATGGATATTGGAAGAGGGGAAGCACAAGGGTGTAACAGAGCTGTGTCTGCAGCCCTGGGCTGGAAAACCCAAGCAAGGGACATCTTGGAGCAGAGGCACCTGGATGGGGATCGTCCAAGTTTTTGGGAAGCTTTTGGAGTCTGTGGTGAGGTCTGGGCTGGCTAATTATAAACCAAGTTGGTTTAGATATCCATGATTATTTAGGAACACCAGACAATGTTCAAGAAGCGTCCAAGGCCAGGTTGGACAGGGCTTGGAGCAACCTGGGCTAGTGGAAGGTGTCCCTGTCCATGACAGGGGGTGGAACTGGATGGGCTTTAAGGTCCTTCCAACCCAAACCATCCCAGGATTCTATGTTCCAATGGATGTTGTAGGCACACCCTCAGTTTCCTTTGATGCCTAAATGCCATTTAGATGAATGAAAGCTCCTTTATGACTCATATTTGTGGGCCACACCAAGATGAATGATTAATGCAAGTAGTGAAGGTCATCTTGTAAAAGCAATGACTGCAGTTTATCCTTTTATTGTGGGCAATTCCATGTAAATTCTGTTGGATGAGTCTATTTTTTTCCAGAAGGAATAAATGTTTCTGGTTGCATTCCCTCCCAGGCAGTGAGACCAGAACAATGATGTCTCAGACTCAAACCTCCAGCTCCAAGGCAGAGCTATTTCCCTTTACAAAAGTATCCCTGGACAGACTAAGTCCAGCTCCTGTTAGTCCTGCTCACCCATCTCCCAAGGGCCACACTGGGAATCGTGTTTCCTAAAGACTGGCAGGAAAACAGGGTTGGAGAGGGAACTTGGAAAACTCCAGCTTTTCCAATATATCCCATCTCTTAATCTTCCTAATAAACCCAGGTATTCCTAATACCTAATCTTCCTAATCCTATTCTTCCTAATAAGACCAGGTATTCCTGGGCCTTCTGCTCTGCATTTCCAGCCCAACCTGGACCTTGTACTTACCAGAGAAACACAAATAAATGGAATTTGTAAATTCTTAAAAGTGTGTTTTATCTCTAGAAGATGTCCAGCAATATAAGAAAAGCCAAATATCCCAGCAAGTTATATCACCATTTGTCTTCTGGAACAGTAGTTTTCTTCTTGAAGTAGTTTTCCACCAAGAAGTCTGTAAAATTTTCTCTAATCATGTTTTTATTTGGTTTTTTAGGAGCCGCTCTTTTCCACCTGCTTCCATTTTAATGTGTCCTCAATATCAGTTATTTTTACTTTGGCAAATAACTAGGATGAACAACAACCCTCCCTTTCACAAACAAAAATATGATATTGCTAGTGGAAGAAAACAGAGAAAATTGCCAGAGAAATCAAATCCCAGCAAGTGTTTTCATTTGTCAAATGCGCTCAGCAAGAAGGTCCTCAGCAAAGAAAACACAATCCATAAAGCCAGCATCAATTAGCTCAGAGTGGAGGCACCAGGCTGCATTTGGCCTTAATTTTTGCATATTGGAAAATGATGATTACACCCATTCAATCAACAGGGAAGCCGTGAATCCATATAAACACCAAGAATCTCCAGCTCTCGCTGGGCATTGTGGATATCCAGGAAATTCTTCAGCCTCTGAGCTGAAACAAGAGCCTGAATTAACCTGGCGTTTCTGGAAAACAAAGGAGGTAAATCCTTGTTAACTGTGTTTTAGTTCCTTGTAAAGGTGTGTCCTTCATGACCTCATGTCCCCCAGTTAGTTCAGGCTCTGAAAAATGCACTTTTCTTCATCCCAGCCTTGAGTTTTCCAGTGCAAGCTGGTGCTGGTTCAGGCTCTTTCCTTCCCTTAAAACAAGTACAGCAGCCAGGCCTGAGAAATAAGGAAGAAATTGTGAGTAAAATGCATGTTTTCAATCCCAGATATCTCTAATTACCTGCTTAAGGCCACATTCCTGACTTCACACCCAGGAAAAATAATTAGTAAGATGGCCAAATCCGTAATTAAAATTCATGCACGTAGTATGTGCAACTGGAGAGCTTAAAATACTACTGTTTTACTACATAGACTTGTGCAGAAAATGGGATTTATTTGGAATTCTTCAGTTCCCATCAACAATCAACAAAAAATTACATGAAATAAAGGAAAAAGGGAAGGAAACTGTTGGCACTGAAAAGAAGACATTAGGAAAAGATGAGACTAAGAGTGGAAATCACAAGAATTAGGGACTTGTTTATTTATATAAATTCATGGAAATTGATGAAAAAAGCCCAAACCCTGAAGCAAACCAAGAAAAAATAAACCAACCAACCAAAAAACAAAAACCCCCAACCAACAAACAAAAATCCCACTCAAAACATAGTAACATAAAATAAAATTAAATTAAAATAACCGTAACTAATAATAATAAAAAATAAACCCTAAACAGAAAGCTCAGAATTTCAGTAGATTTTGAGAATTTTTTTCTCAAAATTAAGTTAAAAATCAGGGACTTTAGCAATCCCTTACTAGTCCTGTCAGAGCACACCTTCATCCTCACTGCCCAGCCCCTTTCTGGCCATCAGGGCACACTGCTGGCTCTCACTCCAAAACAGAGGTTATTTCTATCTAAAACAGAATAAGAACATCTACAATAGATGAAGGACAATGAAAAGCAATTCCTGATTTTCCCACCATCCGTTCAGCACCACTGGAGGCACAGGCTGCCATTGAAACACTGAGACTCCTGAGGTGCATCCTGTGCAGAAACGTTTCAGTGCCACTGTTTCCTGGAGAGGTTTACTAATGCACCAGCAATGAGCGTGGTAATCCACTTCACACTGACCTGCAGATCCAATTAATTTGCAGCTAATGGAACTCTGTGTTCAAAGGAATTCTGAGTATTACTTGGAATTCCCAAATGATGCTGTCAGCCAGCTGTCTTGGAAGGGCTGATAAGCAGCGTTAGCACGGGGCTACTGGTGGGGCATAATTGTACTTTGTTCTTTGCCTCTAACATTCTGCCCGTGTTTTGCACAGAAATTGTATTTCATGTTTCTTAAAAGGACTTGGGGGTGTTTTTTTCCCTTTGTTAGAGAGGCCTTTGTGCTCACAGAATCACAGAACCACTGAGGGTGGAAAAGACCTCTGAGATCATCCAGTCCAACCTTCGACCCAACCCCACCTTGTCACCCAGACCATGGCACTGATGCCACATCCAGGCTCTGCTTAAACACCTCCAGGGATGGGCATTCCACCCCCTCCCTGGGCAGCCCATTCCAAGGGCTGATCCCTCTCTCTGGGAAGAACTTCTTCCTGATTCCAACCTAAACCTCCCCTGGCACAGCTTGGGACTGTGCCCTCTTGTCCTACTGCTGGTTCCTGGCAGCAGAGCCCAATCCTCCCCCACTCCCTCTCCTGTCAGGGAGTTGCAGAGAGTTAGAAGGTCTCCCCTGAGCCTCCTCCTCTCCAGGCTGAGCCCCCCCAGCTCCCTCAGCCTCTCCTCACAGGAATTGTGCTCCAGACCCTTCCTCAGCTTCATTGCCCTTCTCCTCATGGGAGATTTACCCAAAGGAAAGCTTTTCCAAGCAGGAAACCTTGCAGTCCTGGAGCTGCATATTTTAAACTGGTTCCCAAGTATTCAAGTCTTTGTAAATCCATGGACTTCAGCAGAACTGAGCAGAGTAATGCCAGCTATGAATCTGGCTGTTCTCTGGTTAAGCACTTTCCAGGCATTGAAATCCTTTCAAATGTAAGTCATCCAGGTGATGTTTGCCCACATACAAATCAATTAAGACGTGAAAGGTTGTATGCAGGAGTGGGGATGGGAGGGGAGCAAGGGGGAGGAGAAAGGAATATTTCTTTTTTTAATTTTCCAGGTGGTTTTTTTCCCTCCAGGGTGTCCTGTCTTCGGTGCACCTCGTTCTGTGTGCCCAGAGCTACCCATTCTGGAACACTAACTCTGTCATTAAGGGTTCATCAGGATTTATAGCCCACAGCCTTAAGGTTGGATTAATTGTATATGGGAGTTTGCAACCTGGGCTCCTTCTAGGAGAAATTCCCTTTGTTAGGCTCTGGTAGAGCTACAGTTTGAACCATCATTCCATAATCTTCCTAGTGACGTGACTGGTTTATTTTTATTTTAAATTTATTTTTTTTCTGAAAGAAGTTGCCAATGAAAGGTATTTTAAAAATCCACTTTCCACATTCGGATTATGAAAAAAACCCAGAACTATGTATTCTTATAAATCACTGATGTCACTGAATCTTGCCTGAAATGTTTATTGTCAAGTGATGACTCCATTCTGTTTTTTCACTTCCAACCTCAAAATAAGAACTAGTTTTGTCTTCACTGTTAATTCCAGGATCACCTTCATCAGAGCCAAAACGTTTCTGTTCTGAAGGCTTAACTGGGCTAAAAGCACAAGCAGAATCATCAATATTCTTCCAGCCATTATCAAGACTCATGGAAGTTTTCAACATTAAATACTCTTAACTGGAAATATTCCACAAGAACTTCACTAAATGGACTGACACTGCTACCAGCATGAACAGAATGAGCTATTTACCAGTAAAATATCAATGGGTGAACTGATTTTGTGTACAAAAATGAAAATCAAAGGGTTCCCCCAGGATTATAATTTTTTCTGTCAAAACAATTATAAAAAGAGTGATATTTCATGTCTAATCAGAGTTTGGAAATGCATTGAAATGTAGAAAAAAATGGTTGTAAGAAAAAAAGTAGATCCAGGAGTAATCTGAGTTGAATAATGAGGCTCAGAGTTTCATAAGAAAGCAATTTTCCTGCCAGGTATGGACTATTCCCGACTTAGACCCAAAATCAGGAAAACAGGATTCCAAAGCTTAGCTTGTAACTAAACTGCACACAGCTGCTCACTCTCTACAGTCAGGCAAAAGGACTATAACTAGGAATAAATATTTGCTCTGTATCACATGAATCTGGCTTATGGCTCTTTCACTGACAATGTAAGAATAAGTGAGATTTTCCATTATTATTTGCTTGCAATTTTACTTATCCATCATAAATTGGCTCCTGAGCCCATAAATCTCTTGCCTGATAATAATATTTTTTCAGGAGATACTCTCCTAAGATCATATTTAGTGAGATATTACCCACAAACACTGCAAAATAGACAAAAATAAAACCCCAACAGGTATAATAATTGTCTGGGGGAAAATAGCACAGAACTCAAAAAAGGCATTTATTTAGAAGCTACAGAATTCCCAATTTTTAACACTAAAATCACAGCTGAAAATTAACAGAGCATTGAAACAAATTTTAAGTTCAATTTCCCTGGCTTTCCTTTCTCTGTCCCATAAAAATTAATGTAAGGACATGAGGGACATGAGGAAAGATGAAGGAAGAATTACAAAGGAAGAATTATAAAAGTGGGTTTGTTTTAGAGGTGCTTATGTCACAAATGAAGAATTTTCTTTTTCTCTGTCATACTTCTAACCTGGCTCTGAAAAACTAGAGACGTGCTAAAGGAGGGCCAGATAAAGGGGGGAAAAAAATCCCGGAGGTTTCAGGTTTATCTTGCAGAGAACTTACTCAACCAAAAAGGCAGAGGAATCAAATCCCAGTCCTTTGCTCCGTGCCCTTGATACTGATTGGGCTCACACGAATCTCCTTCATTCCTCAGGATTCCTGTGAATTCCAGCTCAGTCCTGGTTTTATAAAAAGGCACTGCTAACCCTGACAGCAGCAGAGAAAAGCTTGGAAATGTGACCCAAGTGAATCCTGAAGTGTTCAGGATCTAATGAAGAATAAAAGAGCCCAGCATGTTTATTAGATTCCATCATTCTCCAACACTTGGGCTCAGCAATATCAGAACCATAAAAACAGCATTCACAGAGCTGATGGAAAAAGGAGGGAGATTATTTTATGGGAAGGTGAGGACCTTCCCAGGTTCAGGTACCTCCTCAGCCACCTCCTCACACATCCAGTTCTCTCAGTGGGAGTCAAACACAGGGACAGATTTCAGAGTGTTGCCCAAAATCATGAACTTCCCTGCCCCAGTGCACACTCCTGTCAGTGTGAAGGACTCTCCTGATGGTTATGACAGACTGAAGACTCTTGTACTAGTTTGGGAATCATTCACTGCCTGTGCAGTTTATCCTTTCCTTCCCCTCAAGCTCTTTGCAAAGACAGTTTTCGTTCTGCTGAGCAGGACTTAGAATGTCAGACTTCTCATTTAAAATGCCATTTCCTTTCCCCCAGTATTCACAAACTCATATTCCACAGTCATCTTACTGACCAAGGACTGTGTTTTATTGCACCCTGAACATGTGCAACGAGGCCTGGAGTGTGGAGAGCACCTCGAGGGGATTTTTAAAGTAACGTGTGATTAATGCCAAGCAGAGTGTCCCTCTGCCCCTCAGACCCAGCACTACTCACCTGTAATCATTGCTGCTTTTGTTTTATCTCTGCATCTCCTGGCTATGTCTGGGAACGTGAAATTCCCACAGCAGCCTGTTGGGAGAGACTGTTCCTTTCTGCTCAGGATTGTACCCACCAAAGGCTTGAGCAGGTCACGCACACCCAGAGGAGCACCTGGAGCTGATGTTGCTCCTCCAAACCCACGAGTCACACATTACACGTTGTAAAAACATCATAACACTGCTTTAAATTCTGGGAGCGTCTCCACTCAGAGAAGCACTTGCTGATCTCGAAGGAGTTCTGAGAGCCATAATTATTGCAATTGTCTGAGGGCGTCTGTCTCAGGAGCTCTGCAGCCTCTGCAGCACCATTTCCTGGCCAACAGCACCACCTACCTCTAATAACCCAGCACCTTGTGCTTCACTGCTGCTTTCTACAAACCTCATAGCGGTTATGTTGCTGCAAGGTCTCTGCTGTGTGTAAACCAAATTTTGGAAACCTAGAGCCAAGTTTTTCAATTTTTATCGCTCATAAAGCGCCCCAAAAATGGCCAGTACAGTGTGGAGCTCTGAGCCTTCACTGGGAAACTGGCACTGCAAACCCCACAGGTGGAAAACAAGGACAAGCAGAGTAAAGAGGAGTCCTGGTTACCTTTTTTTGTGTCACAGAATCATAGAATTGGGAAAGGCACCTTCTAAAGGTCCTAGAATCCAACCCCCTGCAATGAGCAGGGACATCTTCAACTCGCTCAGGCTGCTTAATGATTGAAAGGAATGTGGTCCTTTTGAAGAAATAAAGCAGATTTTTAGCACTGAACTGAAAAACCCTGCATTTATCCTCCTGTTAATTTGTACTGAAATCTTGGTTACTCAAACAGAAGTGGTTTGTGAGTGGTTCTGGAGCCTGCCCTAGTAGGAGTACAGAAAGATGTTTGTGTCAGAAGGCACAGATTTGTGTCAGAACTTGTTAATTCCTTGGACTAATTTGATTCATAGGATTAATTTGTTAGTAAATTAGTTGGATTTTTCTTTCAGAATATCTCTGTCTGCAACAATGAGCAAGGGACATTCGTTGGGGGAAACTCCCACGTTGATCTTTAGGATGCAGATGCCCCAAAAAAACAGTTGCAAAGAAGCTGCAGGGCAATAACCACAGTGATAAAAACTTCAGCAGTACCTCTGGGTGGGATTGATGGCTGGATTGAGACTCCCAGGGACCTGGGATTGTAGTTGGGGTGTCAGTGTGTGCTGCAGCCTGAGGTGACCACATGGCCCAGGCCCTCAGGAAAATGCAGATGAGACTCTCAGTTATATCAGACCTCCCTCCATGGGACATGGGAACCAGTACAGACAAAAATTTCTTGATGTGATTAGCTGGAAAACGGTACAAAATACCCACAGGGAGTGCTGAAAGAAATCCTGCAGACATGGGATATCCATAGTATCTCCAGATCATATGATGCTTAAATATTCATTGTACAAAATCCTTCTGTTCTACTGTGTAATCATGTGCTTGCAGAGCACTTTGCAGGGTTGGAAGAACAAGAGTTCTGGGCTTTGCCTTATTATTGCCTTTTCTTAATAGTGGAGATGCTGGAAGAAGCCACAGCTCCTTTGCTCCTCCATCTCTTCAAAGATCAATAGGAAAACATAGGAGAGCAGCACGAATACATATTCCCAGTGTCCTACTGGAAATCGGTGACATCAGTGAACTTTGGCTTAGCAAAGCAGACAGGTGGGAAAGCCTGAACAAAAGCACTTGTGAGTACATTTAGTGAGGCTGAACTCCTGCCCAAAATTCACTGCAGTGTCTGTAAATAAATAAATAAACACATGAAAGCTGAATTCTGATTATCAATCTCATTAACAGTCTTTTATTCCCACTGTTCCACCACCCAGATTGCTGTCATGGCTTAGAAACCTGACCCAGGAACTAGTACAGAAAATCCAGTCCTGTCCCTTGCCCTCTGTTTGCTTTTTAGATATCACTGCACTTCCCAGCCTGCAAAAAGAGTAAATGACAAACGGACAGAACCAAAATCTCTTCATGTTGCCACCCGTGTTCGCAGGAGTGAGAGATCCAGAGTCCCCTCAGAACTCTGAACTGCCTTCTCCAAGTTACCCTTAGAACCAGAAAGAGGCCTTTTAACCTCAAAATTAGGTCATACTCAACCTTTCTTAAAATACAGAAAATATAAATGGCAGAGAAAGCAACTAAAAGAGTTGGTAGAAAACTATCCCACTTCCTTCTGTCTCCTGCAGGATGAGACCTTCCCTTCAGGGTCTCCATCAGCCCTGTGGCTCAGAATCTCACAAACCTGGATGTACCAACCCTGAAGAATCCTTCTGATCACTCAGAAAAATCATTTCTACCTTCTTTCCTCAAGCCTGGCTTTGCATTTGCTCCAGAGCCTTTTCTAGAAAGTACAGGGATTTAAGTGCCTAGATGTTCTTATTTTTAAAGAATATTCTTGAAAAATACATTAAAAAAAATTCGTAGGGTCCTTTTTTGAAAATCAGATTCTGAAATATAAATTAGCACGAGGATTTAAATTGCCATAAATTAGAGGATTATAACAGGATGAAGCTAAATATCTGAATGCCTTTAAAACAGTGGCCCTTGCTGTGAAACCAGGAGCTCTCAGCACCTCCCAGGACTGATGTGGGGCAGTCTGACAGCACACACACACACACATCAGATCTCACCCAGGTATTTTTAGAAAGCTCACATTATTTTTTTTGCTGAGTGACAGGAAGAACCTAAAACACCCTGTGTGGTTGCCTCGAAGAATCTTTCAGCCCCTTTTCTGCATCATGATTATTGCACATCATAAGGAAAGGCTGGGAAACCTGATTAAATATTTTATACCTCAGTCCTTTTTAGTCTGAATGCTTTAACTACTCAAAATGAGCGAGGAGGGTTTGCCTGGAGGAGGGAGCAGAGCCTGACTCACATTCTCTCGCCTCCAGCTCCCACCCTGAGTTTTCCTTTTGAACCAGCACAACCTTCTTTAAATAGGTGCTGTCCCTCCCCCACTGCTGTGGCCTTGGACTTCAGGTAATTCTCTGATTTCCAGCCCCAAGAGAGAGGTTCCAGTGATGGCCTGTTATGGGAGGAGACCTGCAGGAGGAAAAACCTTCTGCACCCACCTGTTGCCTCCTCAGATGGAGAAATCAGGGTAAGAAAGGCAGAGTCTCCTTCCTCCAGCTGCTCCTTTCTGTGGCACTGGAGCACATATTTCTGTTCCAGGTATTCATGGTCTCCTTAATCACAACCAACATGGAATGATTAAGCTTGGAAAAACCCCTCTAAGACCATCAAGCCTGACCACTAACCCAGCACCACCCTGTTAGCACTAAACCATGTCCCCACGTGCCACATCCACATGTTTATGGAACACTTCCAGGCATGAAGTGGGGACTTCATCCTGTTCCCACTGAGCTCCCTGAAGAACTCCCATCTGGGAGCATCATTTCTCTGGGGATGAGAGTCCTCTCACCTTAAAAAAAAAAAAAAAATTAAAAATTAAACCTTGGACCTCAGTAATTCCCTGATTTCCAGCTGCAAGAGAGGGGTTCCAATGATGGCCTTGATCCTTTGTTGTGGAAGAGAGGAGACCTGCAGGAGGAAAAACCTTCTGCACCCACCTGTTGCCTCCTCAGATGGAAAAATCAGGGTAAGAAAGGCAGAGTCTCCTTCCTCCAGCTGCTCCTTTCTGTGGAGCACATATTTCTGTTCCAGGTATCCATGGTCTCCTTAATCACAACCAACTTGTAATCATGGAATCATTAAACTTGGAAAAAACCCTCTAAGGTCATCAAGCCCAACCACCACGTAACCACTAAACCATGTCCCCAAGTGCCACATCCATGTGTTTACTGAACATTTCCAGAGATGAAGTGGGGACTTCATGCCATTCCCACTGAGCTCCCTAAAGAATTTCCACCTGGGAGCATCATTTCCCTGTTTATGAGAGTCCTCTCACCTCAAAAAAAAAAAATTTAAAAATTAAATTAAAAAATTAAAATTAAAAATAAAAAAGTCCCCAAACCTGAAGGTAAAGTTGCTCATAATTTAAGCACTGGAGGGAGAGAAGCCATCTATCTGTTAATGCAGCTGCCAAAGTATATTGGAGACATTTTAATGTGGCAAAGCATTTATTGTAATGAAGCACAGCCAGCATTCCCAGTGAAAAACAGGGAGAAGGAGAAATCTGACAAGCAGGAAAAGCTTGGGAAGAGGCTGCACTGCTTGGGGAGTTATTTATTTAAATTTCCAGCCACAGAGACACAGTTTGGAGGTGGGGAGAGCAGCACTTATTGATTCAGTGGTGAAGCAGTGGCAGGTGGGATGTGACAGGGAAGGGAGATGCCACCTTTCCCCCAGGATCCCTGAAATACAGCTCTTTCTTCCCTTGCAAAAAGGTTTTATTAAAGCCTTCTTTAAAGTAATGACAGCTGTTACACAAATCAGCAGCCTTTGCTTCTTAGCAAAATGCCAGAGCCTGGTCTAACAGCACAAAATAAAATCTAAAAAAACCTAAAAGACGTAATACAGAAGGGTGTAAACGTCCAGCAATGTGAAAAAAAAAAAAGATAAACCTGATTTTCTGCTGTTATTAAGGCACTGGGAAAGGTACAGCAGCAATTTTAGTATAATAGATATAAATACTATGGATATTTTTCCTTACAGCACCCAGAGCTGGACAGGCAAGAGAAATTTCCATTTACCTTTCCCTTGTAAAGTATTTCATCCTAATGTCTGTGACTGGTTAGGAAAATGCTGACAGCTGTAGGCAGAATCTTACAGAGCACCAGAAAAACAACAAAATCTTTTCTCAGGGAGGAGGAGACAAACTGCAGGGACTTCTAGGTAGAGTTTCCCAGTCTGAAGAATTCTCAGCCAGCTACCCTGCCATGGGGCTCTTTCCTTTGCAGGCTGCTCTCATTGCCAAGTCTGGGCAGTTGTAGCACTGAAAAGTGATGATTTATAAAAAATAAAGTCATGTGGGCTCCTGAGAGGACTGAGAAATGCCTGTGTTCTGAGCCACCCCTGGGCACTGGTCTGAGATCACAGAATCCCAGAATCCCAGGATACTTTGGCTTGGAAGGACCTTAAAGCTCATCCCTGCCATGGGCAGGGACACCTTCCACTAGCCCATATTGCTCCAAGCCCCGTCCTTGGACACTTCCAGGGATCCAGGGGCAGCCACAGCTTCTCTGGGCAACCTGTGCCAGGGCCTCCCCACCCTCACAGGGAGGAATTTCTCCCCAGTATCCCATCTAACCCTACTCTCTGTCAGTTTGAAGCCCTTCCTCCTTGTCCTGTCACTCCAGGCCCTTGTCCCCAGTCCCTCTCCAGCTTTCCTGGAGGCTTCACAAGGGTGGGACATCACAGTGCCCTGGGACTCCACCGCACAGCCCACCAGAAATAAGCTGCTCCTCAGCACCCACAGAGCATATTCTGACTATAACTGTGTGATTTCCAGGGTCCCAAAGTATTTTTTATTGCCTTGCAGTGACACAGAATCACAAAATCCCAGGATATGTTGAGCTGGAAGGGACCCACCAGGACCATCCAGTCCAACCCTCAGCTCTGCACAGGCCCATCCCAAGAGTCACCCCCTGTGCCCCAGAGGATCATCCAAACCCTCCTGGAGCTCTGGCAGCCTTGGGGCTGTGCCCACTGCCCTGGGGAGCCTGTTCCAGTGCTTTACAACCCTTTCCATTAAGGAATCTTTCCTAATATCTGGTGTAAACCTCCCCTGGCACAACTTGAGGCTGTTTCCTCTCATCCTGTCTCACCACATCACTTCTGGTGCCCTTTCCAGCAGCAGAGCTTGGACAGGGCACCAGAAAGGCACCACCATCCCAGTGGACATGGATACAAACCAAAGCCTTCTCCATCCTCTTAAATCACCTTTTCTGCTGAAGAAAGAAAAATTCCAAAAGCAAAAGGAGCACCTCAGCCAACATTCCTGTGCTCCTGAGGCAAAATCCTCAAAAATCAGTGTGCTCCCAACACATTTACGCTGCTCCAAGGGAAGCTCCCTCCCTACCTTGCACAAAGCTCTTTTCCCACACGGGTTTTAATTATCTCACACAAATTTCTCCCAGCAGAAAATGGGCTTTGGCACCCCTCGTGCCTCATCTGCAAGGTTGAGCTCAAAGATTTTCGTGTCCTCATCTCCCAGTTACAAGATTTTCAGCAGCAATGACAGCAGTTGCAGTAAATTAGTCTGTTTTTTGATTCAGAATAACCATTCTTACCTGTTAAAAGCATGTCAGTGAAAACCAGCTGCTGATGGGTTCTTTTGTGCCTTATTTCCTAAACTCAGAGAGTATAAGTTTCCATTGTAAAAGTGGAAAATAAGAAAAAAGAAATAAGGAAAAAATAAAAATTTTACTTCCTTAAATTCATACAAAATTCTACCCAAAACAGCTGCCCTGTAACAGAGAGGAGTTTTACTGAAGTGCAAAACTTTACCTCCAAAAGTCACATGTGTGTAGAGGGAAAGCCCCGAGTTTACTTCACAAAATGCTATATTCTGTCTTGAACCACTTACCACTGGGAGGTGTTAAAGGAAAATACTCTTCCCCCTAAAAATTCTGGGAGTAACCTTGGGATGGAGCTCACAGAAGTTACTTGGTGTGACAGGGAGAAAACCTGGAGGCACAACATTCAATCCCCTTAACCTGGCAGGGTGAGCTGGGACCCTGGAGCTCTCTTCTTATTTGGGTTTCTTAGCATTTACAAGGCTTGATGCAAAGGTCATGGAAAAAAAGTATGGAAAATACATTAACACATAAATATTAATTAAAAGTATGGAAAATACATTAACACATAAATATTAATTAAAAGTTGGACTATTAAAGATTGCCTATTCTCCCTTATTGTCACTGCTGGATATTAAAGCACAATTGGGGCTATGCACAAGTGAGAGTGACGATTCTCTTACTCCTAGAATGCCAAAGGAAAAATCTCATGTTGATTCTTAAGTTTGATTTTTTTTTTTTAATGTGCAAAATATTGCAAAATAGTGAAAATTCGTGGGAGAAGAAAGTGAAAAATTGTGACAAACACAATGTTTTCCAACCTAAACGATTCATTCTTTGATTCTGTGTTGTTATGTTACTTAAAACATCATTGGAGATGGAAATTGTTTATCACTGAGAAGGTGCAGCATAATCTCTCCCCATTTACATCTGAGAGGCTCCTGATGGCTTGAAACTGCTGTGGCTGCTCACAAAGAGCTGCCACTGAAAAGCTTCATGGATTTTCTTTGAGAAAGGCAACTGTAAGTTCAGTCTCCATCCCTCAGGGATCAATACTGGCACCAGTATTGCTCGATGAGTTTATTAAGTGACCCGGCTGAGGGGGTGGAGTGATCCATGGCTGGGCAGAGCTGCTGATGTGCTGGCAGCTCTGGCCACTGCTCTGAGAGACCTCAACAGGAGGGAAAAATGGGCCAATATGAGCTGCCTGGAATTCAATAAAGGCAATAAAGGAAAGTGCAAGCTCCTGCCCCAGGGGTGGGATAATCTCACCACGGGCTGAGGGATGACCAGCTGGAGAGAGAAGCAAGAGAAGGACCTGGGGGTTACGGCGGATGCCAAGCTGGACATGAGCCAGTGACGTGTCCTTGCAGCAGAGAAGGTGCCCTGGGCTGCACTGGAGTGTTGCCAGCAGGTCCAGGCAGGGGAACTTCTCCCTCTGCTCAGCACTGGGGAGGCCACACCTGTAGCACATGGCCAGGTAGAGGGGTTTGAGCAGAGCCTGGACAGGGCATCGATGCCATGGGCTGGGTGACCAGGCGGGGTTGGGTCACAGGTTGGACTGGATGATCTCAGAGGTCCTTTCCACCCTCAGTGATGCTGTGAACACAGCAGAGAGAGTCCAGGGAAGGGCCACACCACTCCTGAGGGACACGTGACACCTGCCTGTCGGGGTTGACAGCAAGCCTGTCAGCAGGCTGGCATTTATCAACGAAGCAGTGGACATAAACCAGATTACAGTACACCCCTGACAGGAGGAGAACACAGCAGGCAGAGGAATGTGGGCAACTTTCAGACTGGAAGAAGATGGAGGACAGAAATGGACTTCCTGTACTTTTTACAAGTCAGGATGACTCGACAAAAACTGTGTTTGCTAGTTTGCAACCAATCCTGGTGTGTGTATACATAAAAGTACCAATGGCAGGTTGACATGTGGATGGCCTGGTGGCCTGACCTGTGTGTACCAATGGTAGAGTGATGTGTGTATG